CTGTGGCATGTTTTAACTGCTTTGAGTGTTCAGGAACAGAAGAAAAGGACTATATATAAGGACCAGCCCATTAATTGTGCAGCAGCTCGGATTATAAATACTGGCCTCTCAGCAACTCGGGTTGACAAGCTATTTGATTTTTATTTCTAGACTGCACCAGGCTTTTTCATTTTTTTAATCAGGCTGTTGAAAAGTCAAATTGGAAGCTGAATTCATTAAACAGCTTGGTAGAAAGATGTGTTCATTTTTGATTAAGTGTGCTTCAAGCTGATATTGGCAACACTGTTTCAACCGAAGTTTGCATAAGAGCATCTCTGAACGCACAACACAGCGAACCTTAAAACAGAAGACCACACCGAGAGCCACTCCTGCCAAATAAGAACAGGAAACTGAAGGGAAGGAAAAGGGAGTCAACTCTGGAAGTAGCAAGCTGCAACTAATAAAGTCTTTCTTCTAAATGCTTATCTTAAAAAATATTATTTTAAACTCGGAATCACACAAAGCTAAATGAAAAAGAAGCTGGAAATAAAGACTACAGGTCCCCTACATCCTCTGACGAAAGTTAAAAGTGCCTTCGACGATTAGAACTCGTCTGAGATTCACCCCTGAGTCAGGACTCTTTACTCTTTGTTAGATTTTTGTTTTTGTTGATACTCTACCTTGGAAACAAAATAAGCCTTTAAAACAACACACTGAGATGCTGCCACTGCAAATGTAGTTCTCAGTGATGAGTCATTTTAACATTGCAAACCATGGCCTGTCATTAAGCCCCAGGTGGTGACAATCCAGCCAGCACGCTGCTAGCTGCTAGTTATTGATAATAATGGAAACAATAAAGGGAAATACAAGCCTGTTTAGGGCTAACAGGAACAGTTTGTCTCTATTCCTCCACTATGCCAATTCACTAATTCACTCAATAAAAACAAATTATCCAAATACGATTTTCAATCAGACGAGCAGCTTCATTCCAACCCTACATCAAGACTGAACAGCTGTTATTGGTACTGGTCACAATCAGTTGAATGCCACAGTACAGGAAGGGTAGAGAATGGTTTTGAATAGTCTCCCCTTGCTCTCCATCGCCTTCAAAACTACCAGAACCTGACATTTCCCCTCCTGCTACCACAGGTGAAACTGAATCCAATTACAGCAATAAGTACCTCCTTAAGTAACCTGTTCCTCAGGCTCTTGGGAATCATCTATCATTGGAGAATAAAGGGTTAAGCCCTCTCACGCTAACCCACCTCCCACTAACCCTGTGAACCCGAAGCTCTCATCGCTGACTCAGAGTGATGAAACAAGAGAATACTTTGCCAATACAAATCAATTCTGATAAAAAGTGCTTTAGAAACAGGCAATTATCTGAAGAATACTCTGTGAATCGCTTTTCATACACATTCTGAACACACAGTTATGAACACACAGTTTTGTCATGCTATCACACCAGTTTGCAGGGGTTAATGTTAACATTAGTGTGGTGTTAGTGTGTTTATAGCTGAAAACAGGGCCTGCGTTTATAAGAAGAGTGTTTGGTGCAGTAGGCATTTCTTACTGTGGTTTTATTTACTACACAAACATTGCTTTAAAGTGCACATGTACGTTATTTGATGAAAACTTAAACAGAACCAGTTTTTGAGAGCAAAAACCAGCACTGCCTGTGTACAGTAAGGTCCATGTTTGACAGCTTTATCAGTTTAGCAGCAGATACAATAAAAGATTAGCAAGTCATCAAAGTAATGATAAGCAAAAATGATAGACCTGCTGGAACAGATGAAGAGCCATTCAGGCTCTCACTCACTACATATGAAAATCAGATCACTGCATAATAAACGTAATATATTATATGGTAGGTGAAGAACCAGAATCTGGTTTCAGTTTGCAATCCAAAGTGTATTTACCTAACTACAGTTGGCTGAACTTTGACTGCGTATGGGTTAAAACTTCGATTGGATATTTAAAAAAAAATGAACATGTTGGCTACAAAGCTAATTTACAACCACAGGTTCTTATCTGATGTCCTCTGTTTGATGTTTTTAGTTTCTCCTCATTCATTCCCAGACTGTAGACAAGCATGTTACATGTCTGTCTGATGACCCTAACTGGTGGGTTCACATATTGCTAGCACTTTATCTAGCAAAGCGTTGCTGAAGAAAAAATAAAAATAAAACACTACTCAAATACTATTTTATACTAAGAGTTATCATCAGATTAGATACTCATTTGCAACAGTATCGATACGAACAGTGCCACCTTCAGTTGAAACACAACTTCAAACAGCACCGTTGGTAGCAGCCCCTCTCCTCACTAGCAGCTGAACGCATGAAAAGTAGTTAATATCAACAGACTGAACTACACTTTAAGATGAATTACAAAAGGTCAGGAAAGTTCCTGTTTGAAAAGTACTAAATGTCAACCTGGCCGGTGCACACATTAACATTGGCTGTTTAACAATTAGCAGTTACCTGCTAACCACATTAGTCGATTTATTAAGTTATTTTTACAGTAGAGGCTATGGCTGTGGCTAATTATGTCCTCTGTTTGATGTTTTTAATTTCTCCTCATTCATCGCTAGACTGCAATGAATGACCATTGAACGCGACAGGAGGTCATATTTGTCTGATAAATGGCCCCAGCCAATGGGTTCCAATGTTGCTCCTCCTTTTCTAGACCAGGGTCCAAAAATCAATACTAGGAATTATTATTGGATCAACATTATCAACATTATCGATATGAACAGTGTCAACTTTGCCTCCTTCAACTGACACAACTTCCCACAGAACCGTTGCAGACCGTCAGGTCACAGCCCCTCCCCTCACTAGCAGCTGAACACGTGAATAGTAGCTGATGTCAAAACTAAACAATTTATGAGGTATGTTAGATGTCAGTAAATCTTCTGTTTCAATATTAAAATATTAAACAGTTATATCATAAATGTTGACATAGCTGGTGCACATGCTAATGTTAGCCATTAAACTATTAGCAATTATCAGATAGCAACACTGGCTGATCTATTAAGTTATTATAATGGTAGCAGCTAGTGGCCATGGCTTATAACAAAAAGATAATATTAATATTGGAGCTAGTCAGCAAACATTATTAGTGCTGCCTATTGGTAACATTAGTAATGTTAACAGAATACATTATTCCCACTATTCCTAAATCCAGAGATTAAAAAGATATTAAGTATAAAAAAAATGATTTTTAGAAATTCTACCAGCAAGAGCATCTTAAGATATAGTTGTCATATATCAATTCACTGTTACATCAGAAAAAAAGAAAACAGTGATGTGATTGATGTATTATTCTCATCTTTACAAAAAACAAAGACTGTGAATTTTTCTCCTCTTGCGGAGTAGAAAATGGTATGAATTGTTGGGTATTTTCCTGAGTATTATATTTCGTTTGAAATTTCAGCGATAATTCTAATCTAAAGAGTTTGTTAGCATAATGAAGTATGTAAACTTTACAACTATACTGAGATATTTTTTATAATCCCCCCGTTTTTCCCCCTTATTTGCTTCATGAGACTTTTTCCACTTCAGATTCTGACACATTTTATATTAGGGGTTGCGTCAGAAAGGGTAACAGGTGTAAAAATCTGCCAAATCAAATATGCAGAGCTACCTGCTGTGGCAACCCCTTGGGGAAATGGGGCGCTGCCAAAATGGAAACGGAAAGCTTGCTCACTTCCTTTTGAAGTTGGATTAATGGCATAAATGAAGCTGTGTTTTTCGGACCATCCCAACTGGTTTAGCGCAGATACGATGGAGTTGTTCACTTTGTCCAAAACCTCTAATGTATATCCAGACCAACCAGCTAGCGAAATAGCTACGATTTTAAATTACAAAAACATTTCCTGGAGGCACAGTCGAGCTGGTTCCTTTGTCTCTTTGCTCGACTTAAACCTCGACGGGCAGAAGCGCTCAGAATCCAAAACTTTAACAGCATTAAAGTCAAAAGTTGTTCCCTTGTCTTAACTGCGATCAGTGTGATCAGCGGTAAGTCAGACTTCTGTCAGATCCTCTTTTGCATGTACCGCTTCCAAAACTGATGGGGGGATGCCTCTGTATCACAGCAGATGTCTGCCTGCACAGCATGTAATTGCAGCCAGGCACCCCACTGCCATCCCAGAGTTATAACTCAGAGAAGTTAAATCTTACCAGGCAGTTACACTATCAAGCACTCTGGCTGCATCAACCTAATTTGCAAACAAAACACAAATGTTCTTTGGGTACGCAAAAGCACACACACAGTATTTCAAGCCTTACTGCTGTTTCAACGATTCTGAGTGCAGATTTTGTTTGGGCAGCAAAGAATGGGTCTGTAATTTAAATGTTTGTTATGACGCTGAAAGAATATGCTGGCCATGATCAGGGCCTCCATGTCGAATGCTTCAAGGACAAGCTCCAAGGCAAGCTAGGCCTCAGTCTTGCTCACCGTCAGTAACCTATCATGTCATTTAAAGGGCTGTGAAAACTGATTTACACCTGAATTTCAACAGCAACACACTGCAGCGCTCTATATTGTTTTTCAAATGCATGCAGCTGCTTTTTTGATTTTTGATTTTGTTATGACTGCTCTGGGTTTGCATAATGTAGATGTTTATACAGTTCCACAAAGCCTGGAAAACTACAACAGAAACCCGAGTAAGTAAAGCATCCAACTGAAAGGTCGACAGCTTAGGGACATTTGTGTTTGTGATAGCAGCTCAAAAATTGTTTTGAAAGCTGTTTAAATACAAATTTGGAAAGTGCAATGAGATCATATTTTAGAAAAAAATCACACTCGTTCGGTTTGACACTGCACTTGGCAAGCCTCTCCATGTCACCTTCAGCCAAATTTTTGGCTGAGGATGAAAAAAAATAAGGCAGACTCGTCCAACAAGAACACAAATCCATAAAATCCAATGCCGCCCTCACACCTGCCAGCAGTACAGTAATGCACAAACACCACAGCACAAACAGACGCCGTCCTCTTTCGACCTGATTATAGTCATTTACCTTTGCAATTTGGACACACCAGTTGAGCAGCAGCTGCGATCCAATGTTGTCCTTGTGCTCGTGCACATAGTCGAGGAGGCAGCCGTGGGGCATGAGCTGGGTGACCAGCTGGATGGTGGGGCTCAGGCAGACACCGAGGAGACGCACCAGGTGGGGGTGCTCCATGCTGGCCATGATCAGGGCCTCCTGGGTGAGAGGGGGGGAAGGAGGACAAAAATGGACTAAGAAGACTGCTGACTTACAGGGTTCAAGAAACTTCTCTTCTGATACTTTGGAGCTTCTTTGCTTTCTGTACTATATTTGTGTCGCACTGAACAGAATTTTAAGCTTGCAGCTTCCCCCTTTGACCTTTTTGCGCAATTTCAATATCATTAAATTATAGTCATATATATTTTGGTTATTTTTAGTTGGCACACTGAAATCTGAAAAAAAGAACCTGATTCAAAAGGTGGCAATGTGTGAAAATTTATTTGAAATCTAGTTCCTGAAAATTTGCTCATTTAGTGTGTGGAAACAACCCACACTGGGCTGTTTGTGACCTGGTTAAAAAGTTTAAGGAAAAACATGAAACTGAGACCAACATCCTCCTATACGTCACAAATTCATGACCATTCAATAAAACCTCCACCAATTAAAATGACGGACAACAATGGAGAAACGTCCTGCTTCTTTTTCTATACTATTACTGTACCTGCCCACTCTGGAGTATTGTCTGATTAGTCTGCGTTTGGTGGTTGCTAGGCAATGTGATGACTTCATAATATATCATGCATAATTCAGGTTTAGTAGACATAAAATCCAAAATTAAAATGATCTGCTGCTTTTTTCAGGTGTTGTAGGTGCAAAAAAAAAATCTGATATTTTGAAAAAAGTTAGCATCATCAAGACACACACAGGGAGCCGTTTGGCACTTTGGTACCTTGATGCACTAGCTGTGAAAATACTGATGCTGATTAAAGAGGGAAACAGTTCATTTTTAGATGTTGGAAAGATGGTGATGCAATGAGATGAGTTTATCAACCAGGAAACTGCCATGTTTTCACACACTCAACATTCACATTATCTCACTGAAGTCTTTGTGGTAAGATTTACGCAAACACTGAGGTTTATTTCAACTTAAATTTGATATCATAGGAAGTAGAGATTGGTGCACAACTGCACAATGATATTTATCTAGTGATATTGTGTGGATAAAGGCACACAAAATATCAATATTTTATTACATAAATAAAAATCTTACAAAGTACTCGTCTTATGCACCGCCATCCTGACATAATATTAACTGAGAGGCCTTATATTAAATCAGCTCAACTAAAAACCATCACACACTAGACACAATTAGCCTGATAAAGCTACCTCGTACTTCAGAGCAAGGTAAAGGCTCAGGAAGGCGAGTAAAAAAAAAAATTGGACATTTAAAAGAAACATTAGTGACCCGTGACTAAATAGCTGCCCAGAGTTTGAGGGTGTTGAACACTCGTGACCACTTTTAATCTCAAGGCGACTGCACAGGTTGCCTGATAGGAGGCAACCTTTCTGCAAACAATTGCAGTCTGACTTGGACTGCTTGCAAACACTATCAGAGAGATTGTTAAAGGTCTGCAAATAATTGCTTTCTGATTTATAAAAGCAGACAGGCTGCAAACATGTTGGTATCAGTCTGATTGAATCTCAATGATTTTCCACGATTTATCACAGTTAATCGCTTATCAGAAACAAACTGCATTTAATTGCCAACTTGACCCCATCCAATCACAGACTGGTTGCAGACTGACTGTGTTACGTCAACATTTATGGCAGGTTTTAGTGTGCTTAAAAAGCCTGATTTTGCAACACAACAATAACGGAGGCGAGGTAACCTCACTGAATAAAGCAGGTATTGACAACGTTTAACTCTAACTCAAGATACTGCAAAATGTTCAAAATCACAATAACATTGTTTTGTGTCGGGTGATTCCCGCCTCTAATGGGAACTCATACAAACAAAACTTGACGACTTTAACTCTTTAAAGTCATCAAGTTGTCAAGACATTCCTGTTTCAACATTTCCGTAAACCCATTTTTTTAAGGCACTGACGCCAAAGGACACGTTGTCATAACATCTGACGCTCTGGGCTCAAAGTATGTTGGAATCTTTATTCTGGGTTTTTGTGGGAAAACAATCAACATTATAAATATTAAGTTTATTGAGCAGCATTAGGTTCTATTATCCTTTTTTTTCTATGACAGATCAAGCTGTTACCCTTGGATAACACTACAGTGTCTACCAAAGAATTCCTAATAGAAATGAAGTTAGATGCATAAATTAATATTTGTGAGATGATTACTATATCTGTATGCACAGCATCTGCCCTGAGTAAACTCATAGTGAGAGAAAACCCTGCAGAACCCTTCTTCAAAGCTGCACAAACACAGCCTTTTTAATCTATATTTTAGCATGCACAACACACAGAGGTTCTTAAATGATGCTCCAATTAAAAGAAAAAAACACAGTAAAACGTGCATGCTTAGAATCCACGCTGCTGTCTAACACAAAGTTACTGCGCCTCTGATTCCAGAAGCTGCTTGAGAATTTCTCGCTCTTGTTGTCATTTTGGCGTGTAAATACATTTTCTGTCCTCCCTCTCCGTCTCTCTCTGCAGCAGATGGACGCAGGGGTCTGAACAGTTGGGAGTCAACGTTGGGTAATTGTTATTGCGGCGCTGCGAGCAGAAGGATGTGTGCCGGTGATGAAGTGTTATGATGGCGAGGACCGATACTTGTGGCCGGCGCATATACGCGTTACGGCTGAGCAGAAGCTGCACTTCAGTGCCATCGCTCAGAAACACTCACTTCACTCTCGGGCTCTCTCTCTCTCTCTCTCACTGACATGCAGACACACTCTCTTGGCAGCTCTCGAAAACACTCACGCCCTCAAGGACACACACGCACACTCTCTCTCTCTCCGTCTTTGCATACGGCAAGCGGTTGAGGAGGTGTATATCCAGGCTTGGCCCCGGGGCAGCCGATGGATAGATGAGGTGCCTTTTTAAATTTAGATGCTAAAGAATGAGCTGAGAGGGAGAGAGGTAGTGGCAGTGTGGGTGGTGCGCGAGTAGATTAATTCTAAACAGCAGCGGGGCCATAGGCCGTCGTGAGGCTTTTGGCACCATCAGTGGCCTGATTTAAGCAGAGCCTCGCAGCACTGAAGTTGTGCCACTACTTTTTCACTTCTTAAAACCACCTGCTCCCCCTCTGCCCCCAACCACTCGCCATCAGCCACCTCTGCACCAGGAATGCGCCTCGCCTCGGGATCCAGAGAGGAAGGGAAAAAAAGGGGGAAGAGCACTTTTATTCTCACACTGTGATCTCAATAGAGACCTGGGAGTCGTAAACTGTGTCGGGCTAAACTCTTGCTCCTGCTTTCTACTCTCCGGGCAAATGTTACGAGGATTCGCCTGTGTGTGTGTGTGTGTGTGTGTGTGTGTGTGTGTGCGTGCGTGTGTGTGTGTTTTGGTTTCCCTCTCATCTCCCTGAGCGCCGACCTCCATTACTGCCGGCTGACCCTCCTTTTCCATCTCGCTCCCTTGCTCACTTGCCCCCCTCACACACACTTGCACAAACAAGAGTTGATAGACTGGCAGAGCCGTGTGAAACTTGCGCCTGTGCTAGTGCGTGTGGGTGTCTGCACGTGAGTGCTACAAAAGTGGAGCAGATGCATTAAATGAATGTATTGTTAGGGCCTTTGCATTTCACACGTCACATAATCGAGTCAAATCCACATATTTGCAAACACGAGCAATTCACTCTGCATCTCTCGCACGCAAGGCCACCCCACCCCGCCTCCCTCACCCCATGGGGAGGCTTATTTTTTGTTGCACAGAGCGTGTTTGGTTATGTGTGTGTGTGTGCGGACTTTCAGAGAGTGTTTGGAGCTGGCACTCCAGTGGCCAGTTTCTCAGTGGCGAAGCGTGAGCCTGCCTTTAGATTGCTGTTTAACAAGCCAGCAGACAGAGCATATTGGCTCTGGATGGACAGGGACGCCCACTGGGAGAGACACCGAGAAAGAGGAAGAGAGGGACCGATGAAAAGGAGGGAGGGAAAAGATGCACAGATTAAAAAAAGTGCCCAGAAATGGGGAAACGCAGGACGGAGCGCAGCTGTGTGTGCGACAGGAGAGAGAATAAAGTGGTTCGCACTGTGGTTGGTAGTCAGCTAGTTGTGAATAATGATTTTAGTGTTTGATTTTTGCATTAACATTCTTAGTATTGATCACTGTGTGTAGCCATCTGTCTCGCAGTTGTTAGCACTATGCTACGTGTAAGGATCACGGATGGTCTATGAGAACTGGATACCAGACTCCGGCATGATATCAGTCCAATTAGCGTTCATCCAGCGTGGACACCTTCCTCTGGGTTGTGTGTCCAAGTGCACATGTGAGTGGGAGTGTCGCTACTCTTTAAATAAGCTTCCTCTGGCTTAACTGTACTGACCCACTGGGTTCAAGGTTATAAAAGGCTGTTTTTTGACTACTTTCGATTTCACCTTTAGAAACAGTTTACCTTGCCTTGTTAGGTATCATTCTTTTCAGCACAACATCACATGTCTGACTTTGCAGTTATTTTTCATACTGTATTAACACATTAAAGGGAACCCCAGCTATTAACACATGTTTGCGCTAAAATATGCACTGTGTTTTCAATAACATATATGTGGTATCCAAATACGCCAAATATTTTCCTTTTAAGCACATTTTATATAAAACCAGTTTACCAGTAGGTCGCCATTGTTATTTACTTCTCAATGCACTCTAGGTAGTGACGTCACATGGTTGCACCACATCGAGTTCACAGTTAGAAGCGCACTGGAAATGGCTTCTGTTCAACCTCTCCAGTTTCAACCAGAGCAAACCGAGCGAGATGATGAAAATAGTCAACCAGTACTTACTTTAGATGAAGATGAAAACAATCCGTCACACGAGGACGTGAGAGTGAGGGAAAACTACTGGTGTCTATGCGGCTACTGCTTGCCAATGGCAATGGCGACTGAGAGCGTTTGGTGTAAAGAGCTTAATTTTATGGTAGCAGCTATCCATGGTATCGCATAACCGCATGATAAAAACATTAATAGAATTCTAATTTCTATTAAACAGTGAAATTACGATATTGTTATTTTTACAGATTCTCCATGCAACACAGTGCAGCAAAACTTTGAAGCCGTTGTGCCAAACTAGGTAAAATTTGTTTCCCCTGCGTCGGGAGCATACACTGGCCTTTCGAAATCATGGACTAACAGTATCCCACGTTCGTGATTTTTAGTTCATAAACACTTCTTATAATGACTAACTACTCCAGAAATGTTGGAGATGTTAGCTCTTTATACAGTAAAATTACAGTGGGATACAAATAATATCAAAATGTGCTTAAAAGGAAAACATTTGGCGTATTTTAATACCACATATGTGTTATTGAAAGCAAAATGCATATTTTAGTGCAAACATGTGTTAATAGCCGGGGTTCCCTTTAACACAATGGAACTAAAATCACCAAAAAAAGCACAAAATCTGAGAAGCAAAAAGTTCGATGTTTTTACTGTAACAACCACAAACATGTTAAACAAAGCATTTTCATAACTTGAAATGCAAACATAAATTGCACATTTTAAAAGATTATGTACAAATGCAGCAAAGAGCAAAGGTACAACTGTTTGCATTAAATGCAGCCGATGTCTCAGGTGTGTTTTCCCCATCAAGTGCCACAATAAGATGCCACACAAAGTATTTGTGCCACTTCAAGCCCCAGACAGAGCGGCACATTACTGCTCCGACACCTCCGGGGTGTATCACTCCTCCTTTTGTCTCCCTGGAGACACTGGTGGCATCTTTGACTACACTACATGCTAACTACACACTTCAAACACGCAAAAGATCACAAATCTCTCTCAAATTTTAAAATCTGCTATCGACATCACTCTCTCTCTTTCGCCGCCGTCCCTTCCCTCTCTTCCTAAGCAACCAAATGCCATGTGCCAGTGAGGCCTGTCGAGTCTGAGATGTAGCTACTGGGTTTTTTGCAGTGTCTCTGAACACTGCACGATCTGACCTTGGACTGAATTAGCAGAGATGTCAACTCCTGGGATGATTGGGGACTATCTTGAATGTTTTTCTGCCTGTGAATAATCTTTCTCACTGCAGACTGACGGACTTCAGATTGTTTGGAAATGACTTTATAACTCAAACTGACAAAAACGTCTGCTTTTATAGAGGTGCTCACACTTCCTGATGATCAGGTAATCAAGAGTATTTAATAATCTGCATCAAGCTGCTATCTACCCCCTTAATTCATGTGGAAGCGGTGAGAGTGGAATTAGTTTTTCACACTCTGATTCTGCATTTTTACTTATCTTTGCCTAAAATTAGTAACGCAGCGACTTATGGCATGTCTGCTTGGTCTAAGCTTGTATTTACAAACTTTTTAAAACCTTAAAACTGAAAGACGGGGTACTTTACTTGACTAATAATTACAACTGCGAGGCTTAATAACTTTTTTTTGCATGCTACTGATAACCTTTTATCCACATTGTTTTGCTAACAATTCAATTTCATTATTTTTTATGCTGTTCTCCAACATCTGCATATCACATACAGCTATTTCATTTACGTTCTCATTATAATCTATTCAAATCTTTATTCTGGCTGAATTAAAGGAAAGAAACAAAACACAGACCATGTTCATCACATGCATAGAGTACAATAATGAGACATTAAGCTGAGCTGTTTTACCCAATCAGCAACCTGAAATGCAACAATACTCCATTTCAGTGCCACATAAGATCAAGAAGAGCCAAAAATCCCCCCAAATGAAAAGGTGGATTTGAAAACAACAGGATATTTGCTTTTAAAAAGACAGAAATGAACAGCTAGATGAAAGGGTTCATGATCCAGCATCCACAATTGTATAATGATGAGGCACCTTTTTGCACAACCTTGTGATAAATGAGACACAAAAGCTTGTGTATTTGAAAAAAAAGAAAAGAAAGAAAAAAATGGAAATTCCACCGCCTGCCCTTCCTCATCTTCCTCTCCCTTCCATCATTCCTGCATTGCTATAAAGCCATATCTCATAAACTAGTGCTGTTCTTTAATAGAGTCTTGTTCCATACATGGCTGGCTGTACAGCGTGGTGGAGTTTACTTTATTACAGGCTCCGACTGAGAAGGTGCTCTCGTAAGAATTTACCGCCAAATGCACGATTCCACAAAGCGACAGACCCGGCAGTCTCTGTGACAACGCTTTATGGCTCGCGCACGCACATTCACACACACACGGCCAAAAACAGATACAAATTGTTGCGATATAAATACTCACGTCCATGAACTCCACGTTGGCTTTAGGACCGGTGGTCTCATTGAGGATTTTAATAGCCACGGGGATCTTCACCGTCTCACCTTCTGGGACCCAGATGCCCTGAAATATACAAGCAATCACCATAAATGTACCCAATAAACAACCCCTGGCACACACTCACACACAGAGCTACCGCAGAACTGACTTTGAATGGTGGTTGTTGTGTTTAACTTTCTCCTGCAGCTCTAATAAATCCAACCCCATCTTCCAAAAATACCGTTGGCCTTCAACAATTAGCTCGTGCATAACTAAGTTTAAAACCCTTTGGATAAAGCGATTAGAAAAGACAAATATCACAATTTCAATTCACTTTATGAGGCTTAAATTCTGCTAAAAGCAAACTGCTGTGGGATTGTACTGCCATAAATTGCATGCAGATTAATTTAAATAAAATATGCCTTAAAACGGGCAGATGAGTAGAGGAATCCAGAGGAATTTGGAGCCAGCGGTAGAACGTGCAGTATTTATTTGATGGATTCTGCTGATTTTCGGGGTGCTATGAATAATTTTGCCAAGGGCAGCGAATTTGGCAAGCAAACAGCAACTTCTGTTCCAGGTCCTTGAGCCGCCCTCAGCTTGTGTCTGTCAGGAAACGCTGTGACAAAAGAAAAGGTTTGTGTTTGTTGTTCAGAGGTTGTTCTTCAACCGAGAGAGGTCTGACACCTATGCTGGTATTGGTATTCCCTCCACACTTGCGTGATAAGGTCTATATTTTGTTTATTTTTGGGGAAATTAGAAAAAATAACCCTCAAATATGACCTATGAAAGATATCTGAACATCTGGTGTTGATTGTCAACAACTGAATTTCTATTCAGTCAAGTGACCACTTTGCCATGCAGTCAAGAGCTCATTGTGACATCACTGGTGTAGTCCAGTCATCTTTCTGCCTGCCTCCTTCAGGCCCATCAGCCTCCACTCTGCAGACATTAAATATCACTGGTTATCTGTCATTCTAGTTTGCAGATGCTGTCACGCAACCCACCTCCTCCCCATCTCCGCCTCTCCCAGTTACTCAGGTTCCATCCAAGCCTCCATATTCATCTCCCCCACCAGCATCTAGACCAGGGATGACCAGCTCCAGGTTTTAGATGTGTCCGTGATCCAACACAGCTGATTCAGATGGCTAAATGACCTCCTCAAAATGTCTTGAAGTTCTCCAGAGGCCTGGTAATGAACTAATCATTTGATTCAGGTGTGTCGACCCAGGATGATATCTAAAACCTGCACGACATCGGCCCTTGAGGCCTCGAGTTGCCAGCCCTGATCCAGACTCGGGGGGCCCTGCCCTAATCAATATCACCGCCGGGATTCTGTTCTGCTGCGATAGGCCATTCTGGTCTAACCGGTAAATACCTGAAATTGAATTCCGTACATCAATAAATGATGTTCAATTCCTGCTAATGATCTCTCCTTATTTAAATCCCAAGTGGCGATTTCTCACTCAGAGCTCCAGTTCAGTCACATCTACGTGTATCTTTTATAGACTTACCCTACTGCCAGGATGAAAGCTTTCAAAGGACGGTCAGCTACATGCGTTTTCACTCTGGACGGGTAAATAATGTCACCGTGTGGGAGAAGAGCAAGAAACTGATCATCATTAATACGTAGCTAGCTTAAAGAAGCTACTTAAATGATGTAAATCTTATGTTTTGTTGACTTGGACATTTACAGTGTAGGGCCATAAAAGTTCCAGTAGTGTTAATTTGTCAGTGTTGTGTCATAACAGTGAAGTTGACCAAATATTTTACCAATATCCAGCAAATCATCTACAGTTTAAATATGTTGCTGTGGAGAAGCAGGGACTGGTGTGATTCAGCCTATACGGCAGGGTTAAGAGAGATGTGCTCACATGTTGGTGCCATACTCTACGTCTACGCCAATCAGAAAGCTGTAACTAAACAGTGATTAGTGCATCTGATAGCACAGCAACTATCTGGCATTTTGGCTTTCAAAATACATGAAAAGCTGAAAGATGTGTTTTATTGTGTTAACACAAAATAACAAGTTGTGACACACTGCTGTCCCCTACATAAGCTGCCTTTACAACTTAAAGGTATCAGCAATACCCTGTATTTACTTGATATTGATCGGCACCAGAGTCTGCAGGATGGCTTTATCACACACTGACCTTGTAGACTGTTCCGAAAGCTCCCGAACCCAAAATCTTCACCCTCTTCAGCTCTGTCTCTTTCAGGATCCGCAGCTGGGCCTGGTTTGGAGCAGTTCCACTGGGGGTCAGGGGCTCCACCAGCTGAGAAAGCAAAACACACAGACACACTCATATTAAGACTATTTATCCCACTCTCCGTCTCATCTGGTGCCAAGAATGTGAAGAAAACCTCCTGGCAGCTATTGTTTTTATTGCAAAGCTATCGAAAACTAGAAGTGTGCCTTTCTTTTACATCAAATCCAAATATTTTTAACCTCCTGCTACTTGGCACTGTGAATGCTAAAACACATCTTCAGAGCCACCGGGAGCATGCAGCAGGGTGAGGCCGCTCCATTTAAAATAATAAGTAAAAAGCAAGTCTAGGAAAGAGTGGTGGAAGGTGAACACAAGGTTTTTATTTGCAGCAAATAAAAAAAGAAGCCAAAAAACTGAGACTGTACGGCCCTGATAGTTATGATTCTGCAACACACACACACATTTATGAAAGACAAATAATTCGGGGGTGTGAATGTGGAGTTCTGTCAGAACTGGCAGTTGCCAGAGTGGACCGCAGCGTGCCCACCACTAGGCAAATCACAGTCTGGTGTCAGCTGCTATCACAGTCGACAACGAGCAGCAGCTCACCAGCTGTGCACATACAAAACAATTCCAATTCAAGGTTATGACAAGCCTCCTCCGCATGCCGCCTCCCTGCCAGTAACAGCTGACACTGAGCAGCATCCCAGCAGCTGGCCTGGCCACCCGCCTTCACCGCTAGCCGCTAAACAAAGCCTCGGCGACTAAGTATGAAAAAAGCAGGAGCTGGCACCTGTAACCGAGCCGTGAAAAGATCTGAGCCAGAGGCAAGAGAGAAAGCCACACACATTTTCATCCAGGCAGCCTATAGTACACATCTCAGATCAAGCACACACACACACACACAAAAAGTCAATGCACCTGATCAATACGTGTCTTAATGAGCATATCGGGTCCCTCATTCGCTGCGGTTTATCAGCGGCATAATCACCCGGCTTGGCCACGACCATCAAACAATATAATGAGACCATATATCAGTCGGTCAGCCATACAAGCACTTACTCAATGTGATATAAAACCATCAGCACAATAGGACTGGCAATCGCAGCGCCGGTCCGGTCTGCAGAATAGATGACATTGCCCGCAGCTCGGCAATGACACGTCGTTTAATGGCTATCGTTATAGCCGGTCCTGAAGGCGCAGTGTTAAGCCCGCTGAGATGTCACCGCAGGTAGTGAGTTAGAGCAGGGGAAGGGAAATGACAAATTTCATAAGACTGGGGGAAGTGAGTGAGATGAAAGAGGGAAAGGAAGGAGCGATGAGAGGATGACTGAGTGGATCGAGTGACGGTAACGTGCTGTTTGAAACCTCGTTCGGTCTGTAGAGCACCAAAATCGCGTTTTTGTACAAGCGTTAAGATGAAGTGCACAAACAAACGGCCACAGCTGTATCACATTGGGGCCCATGTGAGATGTTTTAAAAGGTTTGGATCATAAATCTAACATGGAGAGAAACTGAATTTTCTTTCCAAGGTCAAGAAAATGGACCTATTTTTTTTTTAACTCCAAACATCAATTTTCTTATTTTTCTTTGCAATGTACGTTGCAGTAACCCCACCATTTAAAGTGCTGCCTTGATGACGTTTTTCAAATCGCTTCAAATGCTGATAGAAGCATTTGACATCTTACCTGACAGTTAACTGTGAACTATGCACACATTTAATGCAACTGTTTGGGCATACTGTGGGTATAGGAAGACATGGTCAAGAAAATCTCCTGAGGCTCAAACTGAGCATCAGAATGGGGAAGAAAGGTGATTGAACTGACTTTGAACGTAGCATGGTTGTTGGTGAGTATTTCAGAAACTGCTGATTTGCTGGGATTTTCCCACACAACCATCTCTTAAAGAGAATGGCCTAAAAAAAGAGAAAATAGCCAGTGACTGTTGGAAAACCCAGAGGAGAATGTCCAGAAGGCTTTGAGCTGACAGGAAGGCCACAGTAACTTAAATAACAACTTGTTACAACCAAGGTATGAGGAGCGACACAGAGAGGAGCAGAAGACCACATTGCGTGCTACTCCGGTCAGCTATGAACAGGAAACTGAAGCAATTTACATGAGCTGACAAAAGTTAGGAAACAGAATATGGACAGGCTTTATAAGTCTTCATTTATTAATTTTTTTTTAGATGATAATATCCAAATAAGTACCAACAATTGCAATTCATATCATGTCAACATGGATCAAAATCTTTGAGGAATGTTTCCAGCAGTTTGCTGAATCTGTGCCATGAAGAATGAAAGTAGTTCTCAAGGCAAAAGGGAGTCTGCAAAGTACATTTATGTAGCTAATAAAACAGCTGATGCACACGTGGTTACATTTATATGTACTATGTCATTTTAGCTGGGAGAACTAATGGGAATACAGTGCTGAGCCCAAGCTGCACTTCCTCACATGGCCACTTTGGGGGCTGGCACCAAAAACGGGAATCAACAACTGTCGAGTCCCATGGTAAAATGCCCAATTTTACAGCAGAATAAGCATGTTTACTGCCTTCTGCGCATAAAAAGTTCTGAGTTCAATAATCAGATGTCATAATCTATTTCTAACATCCCTATGCTTTGTTAAGGACCATTTTAGTGCAGTTGTTTTGATGATTAATATGGCTAACTCTGTGGTGATTACACTAACAGACTGTCAAAGACAGGTAATTTCTTTAGTTTTGGTGAGTGATATTCTAGCATGTTCCTTCACCCTGATTAGCAGGTAACTGTCTCTGAAGGCCACCCATAGAGTCTATGCCTGCATCTTGTTAATAAATCTTCCAAGTTCTACCTGATAACTTAGCTGTCTTTTCTCTTATGCTCACCTCCGACTCCAAACAGCCAAGACAGGCTTTACAAACAGTGGGTATATCACTGCGTCTATACAGTGTGCCTCTGAGGCTTTAAATGAAATATGAAATTTTCTAGCAATGACTGGTTGCTGACTGGATGTATTTACCTCAACAGAAAGGGCAAGCTTTGGTCACATCCATCATATCAGCATGGTATTTGTGCAAAGAGCATTTTTTGCATTTCGGTGTGTGTGCATACATTGCTAGAATAACAAAAAAAACAAAACAATTGCCGCTGTGGGTGGAGAGAAATGGAGTGATTTGGAAAGAGAGAGCAGAGATGAGGCACAGGGAGGTGGTGATGGAGCAGTAATAAGAGCAGATGGTGACAGGCTGTAGTTGTTATTGTTTCATTAGGATGAGGCTGGACTGGACTGGAGAGGAGAGGGAGAGGAGAGGTCTATTAAATAAGACACAGACCCGTAGCCGACGAAGCTCTCTTGAGCTCGTTCTCACTCTCGCACACACTCACCACGCCACTTTATTTACCAGCTAATAATGCACCGTGCCTTTGCCAAATGAGCTTCACTGGTGGCGCGGTGGAGAGGATTGGGATGCTTCATTGGACAAATAAGCAGTATGTTCAAGCCTCAAGCTAGAATACATTCACAGAATTATTGTGTATTGAATAAGTAAACAGTGTCTTCAAACATGAACTTGCTCTGCAAACCCTCGGGTACATGCTTTAATGTTCGCATTACCCATTCAAAGAGCTACATTTGTTGTGTTGGCTGTAATTGAAACATATTGAGGTGAAACAACTTTGTCGTGCCACAAGCGTTTGCCCCGGAGCAGTCGCAGTAGGTGGTCTCGGGGCCTGTGTTGCTGCCTGGTCAATTTTCAGGTGAACTTTGTTGGCTTATTTTGATTCTTAGTGACTGATGTCGGACTTACGAAAGCACCAGTGATTTAATAGGGGTTAAAACTGGGTCACTGGAACTTATACCAGACAAACATGTTGTATAACAATAACCTCACAATTACAAATGTAAAAGTGTGATAGCCATCTAACTATTAGACTCAAACATATGGACTGAGACATACAAGGTCACAAAAAAGGAATTTTCTTTGCACCTAACATTGTTTTATTAAACAACCAGCATCGTCTGCTCTTCATTCGAATGCGGGTTGTGTGTGTGTGTGTGTGTGTGTGTGTGTGTGTGTGTGTGTGTGTGTGTGTGTGTGTGTGTGTGTGTGTGTGTGTGTGTGTGTGTGTGTGT